TGGGAATTAGCTCAAATGAAAAATTATTAGGAGTAAACATGATTATTATCATTAGGTATAAAGTTAACTCATTTATCTTTAGTAAGTTTTTACTGAGCATCTACTATACCCTAGACACTATTCTAAACAATGGCAGTCAGCAGTGAACAAAACAGATACAATATTGTACCCTCAGAGAGAAGTAAAAACAGGAGGGGAAGTAAAAAACTGAGTTTAATATATAGTATATTTAGCCAATATGTGCTGTGGAGAAAAATAAGGTTTACAATGGGATAGAGTGTTGCTATTTTAGTGGTCAGAGATCTCACAGAGCTGACACTTGAGCAAAGACCTAAAGGATGTGAGGGAATGGGTTACACGGTTCTCAGGCAAAGGGAAAAGTACAAAGGTCTGGAGAAAGAAGCACTCCTAGCATGTTGAGGAACAGTCAGAGGACCAGTGTAGCTGGAGAAGGAGTCAGGGTGGGAGTGGCAGGTGAGGTCAGTGAGGTAAAGGGGACTGGATCATGCAGGCTGAGATGACCATCATGTGAGGACTTAATGCTTTTACTCTGAGTCTAGTGGAAAACATCTCCAAAGTTTTGAGCAGATGACTGAGATGATCTGTCTTAAGTAGAGGATCTTTCTGGCTGCTGTGTTGAGAATGGAATGTAGGAAGCAAGACTGGAAGCAGGAAGACTGGGTATGACGCTTTTGTAGCAGGCCAGGCAAGTGATTATGATGGCTTAGACAGCATGCCATCATCAGAAGGAGTGGGAACTTAGCAAATAAAATTACTTGCAGATGGGAAGGCCCAGAAAATGAGGATGTAATAAATTATCATTGCAAATATTATTTTCTGGTCCAATTATTTTTTTCTTGCTTCCAAGTCCAACCTCAGCACACCTTGACCTATTTCACTAAACGCAGATAAAGAGGTCTACTGCTTTACTGAAAATATCATGGTTATTCAGCTGAGAGAAGCTTTTCCATCTCTCTCACCTTCACCTCAATATTTGTTACTTTGTGCATTGCCTTGTGTTCTAGAAATATTAAGATTTAACAGTGAGCTAGATGAAAGAAATGCACATTACTCAGACAGAAGGTATTAGTCTAGGTGAGAAATGAGGGCAGCAGAAATAAGGGGAAGATATCATTTTGCACATGCATTGAACATGTAGATTAGCCTGAATTCAGAAGCCAACCAGCTGGAAGCGTGGAGAGCTGAAGATATTTTCTGGTGTACCCGGCTGGACATGGAATGCTCTAACTGCAATGGCTGGGTTGACATGAGATGACCACACTGGAGAATTGAAGATGATGAGTTCTCTATTAGAAATGCTCTACGTGGAATACCTTTGTAATATTCAAGTGGAGATATCTAATCTGCAACCGGAAATAGTTTAGAAGCATGAAGAATAAATAGGGACTAGTGGTAAATGGCAATATCACTTCAACACTGTGAAAGCCTACAGTTGTATCACTGCTTTCCACATGCAGTGCAGTGTGGGAGCTTCCCCAGACTGGAAGGGATCAAAGGACAGTTGTCCCCTTACTCTTATCTTACTCATATTTACCCAGGCATTTCTGATCTCAAAGTGAATCATCATTTCAGGAAGAGAAAAGCACAGGAAAACTGAGATTGCTGATCATTTTCTACCTGAAATTTTCCTTAAAAACTAAGAGTTGCCAAATGGAATGCCTTCTAATATGGGCTACAGGCAACCCTGGCTAACTTTATAATTCCTTTCCTCTTTTGATGTGTTTTAAAATTACCTTTAAGGAATCATCTGAGACCTAGATTGTAAAAACAAAGTTAGCTTTAAGTTTTGGGAAGGAGTTTGTTTTTAAATTTCTTCACTTGCGTAATTGAGCTATAAGGCCACCATTCATCTGCATGACTCCCTCTAGTGACTCCTTCAAATCTTTTCTTTTCACCTGCTTTATCCAATCTGTCTCCAAGTCTCACTCATTTTACCTCCCCAATATCTTCCCTCTCCATCCACTGCCTGATTTCAAAGACCTGTATCTCTTGTAGTGCACAAACACCAAGGGCTGTCATTTCTTACCTAGTTTCCCAAATCACCTCCCCCAACCCACTTGCTTTGCTGCCTTCTATTAGAGTACTACACATCTGCTCAAGGCACTTCTCTCCTAAACATGGCTCCTGATAGCTGCAGACAATCTCCATGCACTTCTCTGTGCACACATATTTCACAAACTTCACAGTACCAAACCACATTTTTTAGAAATAGGCCATGCTCCTTCACTTCTTGATACATGCTAGTCCTTCGGTCTAGATCATCTCTGGGGCCCTTTAAATTCCAACTCTTCCTTTTAAAGTTAGTACCAGGAGCCACCTCCTCCATGAAGGCTTCCTGACTCCTCTAGGCACTGTTTTCTTCATAAATGCATTCTAATACACAACTGCATTTTAAATGATAGCCTACTGGGTTTGGTGTGACCCAACAGACTTATTTTTCAGACATTTAAAAAATGTAGACCATAATAAGAAATATGCTTTATACAGCAACACAGTACACATTTATTCATGTAATAGATATCAGAAATTTATTCTGTGCTAGACCTGCAGATACAGTGGTCAACAAATCTGATGTAAATCCTTGCCTCTAAGAAGCTTAAATTCTGGAATTTTAAGATAGGTAAAGAAAGATTTCTTAGGCTTTCAGATAGAAGAAAAAGAAAGAAAACTCAAAACAAAGAAGGAAAAAATCTAGCGGGCCTTACACTTCCTGACAATGTTCACTGTCAGAAGATAAAGAAATGATGTTGATTGAATTATAAGGAAAAAATAACTGTGACACATCCAGGCAAAATTATGTCTATGTACTCATCCTTTTACCAGCACAGGTATGGGTCTGCAGTGCTCACCAAATGTTAACCCTAATTATTTCTGGGTGGCCAGTTTGGGGTCATGAGTTACTTTGTTTCATTTTGTTTTGTTTTTTTTAACTGTATTACCTAAATTTATAATGGTCAGGTATCATTTTTATAAAAATAGTAGTTATTACTCTTAATAAAAACAAAATGAAAAGAAGCATGACAGTGTCCACCACAGATATCAAAGAGTCAACCTACAAAAGGAAAAATGGCTAAATTAAAAAAAAAAGATTTCACAAAGTAAACTTAATCTTACTAAGTAAGATTGAATTCTGGTGCTCCCAATTCTATTCCAATTTATTTTTCTTAAACTAATTTTGCTCCACTGAAGTGATTTCAAGGTCCACTCATGGGTTATTTTCCATAGCTTGAAAAACATACATGAGGCTATTGGCTCAATGAAGAGATACCTTTTCAGCCAACGATCCCCAAGGAATGCCCAACATTAGCAGACACCTAACTATCATTTCTTGATGTGTGAATGTTTACCTCAGTAGAACTAAGAGCACCTTTAAGGCAGGGGTCATTTCTAAAAAACCTCTGGGTCAAGCACAGAGCTAGTTCTCAATGAACATTTCTTTCATTGAACTGAGAAGTACCAACTAAGGACACAATTTAATATAGCACTTCAAAAATAGGATGTATAACAAATGAAACATTTGTCTTGTTTCTTAGTAACAAAAGTATCCAAATTAGGGGTTTTAATTGTAACAACTTGTATTTGCCCACAAAAACATGATGTTCCCTGGAACAACCTCCCACTTCACAAATGTGAAGCCTTTCTTTTCCCAGGAATTCAAACCCAACCCTGCATGTGCCAGGAAGGAAACAAACCACACCAATAGGGACCTCTCCTGCCTCTGGTGGGGTTGATCCTCAAAACTTCCATTTTTCTTAGGCAAAGGAATTTCAAAATTGTCACATTATAATTAATTTTTAAATGAGTTCATTTTCTCCCTCTCAAATTGTATTGTCAAATGGTGTCAGAAGAGCTGGGATACAGTCTGTGTGACCTTATTACTACAATCCTAATGATTTGTTTAAAAAAAATCGTCTCTGAAGACTTCTTCTCACAGAGCTGTTGTAGAGATTCAAATGAGAAAGGTATCAGAAAACAGAGGCTTCTTCAATGACCTATAACGTAAACCTTTATAAGATAAAATGCTACAACAAAACCTTAACCTTGAATAAATCTCATTTTGTGAAAGTTCTCTTACTTGACAAAGAGATTCACCATACTGTTTCCTTGTGTTCACATTTGCAACAAACGTCCATATTTTTCAAAAAAGAACATGGCTGCTCATTCTATTGAACTGAAGTTGGCAGAGTAGTTTTTCTGCCTAAGGAAATTGTGCATTTTGCTTTAGTTTGGTTTATTAAGATGTTTAAATTTCATTGAGGGAAGGGGCTGTCTTTGATATTATAACTTCTTTTTATTTTCCTTTCTCTTTCTTCTCTCATGTCTTCACTTGCACATTTTGTTTCGACTTTGCTTCCAGTGCCCCTACACCGGCTGACAGAACAACCTACGCTGAAGTATGGAGGAGACGGCGAGAAAGCAGGGTGAGATCTCTCTCAGCCTTACATCTAGGGAGCAGAGTACAGACAGCTGGATTTTTTTTCTTTTTCTTCCTATGTGAGGAATGTTTAATTTCCTCTAATTAATTGCACTAATGTTTAATTTCACAACTAACACGTAAGTGAACTTTCCTCACAAAAAGGACTGCAGGTAAGGCCAATTCCCCTCCGGACCCACTCCCCACCGCGTCCTCTTCCACTCCTCAGCGGGTGGGCGTGCGCAGTGTCCTCTCCCACCTGTTTACACGTAACTGTGAAACTTAGCGGAACGTGACATTTGAGGACCTCCCCGACCCCCTACGTACAATCACGTGCTTACACCAGAGCGTCCACTGACAGCGGAATGCGGCTTTTCCCCTCAACCCCACTACCCTGGCTCCCAGTCCTCCGGCGCTTCCCCGCGCCCGAGACGCCCGGCCCCTCGTCTCCCCAGAGGCCCCGCGGTACTCGCTCCCCGCGCCCCGGGTTCCGTCCGCGGGACAGGCACCAGCAGGGCGCTCGCTGGGGGCGAGCCGGGCCCCGGCCCCTCCAGCGCCGCCTTACCCTCCGAGGACTGCGGCCCAGAGCAAAGAAAACAGAGCCCAGCGGCGCCATCTTGGGCCTCCCGAACTTGGTCTAGAAGCTCCCTGAGCGCAGGGGGCGGTCGCGAGGCCACAGAGCCGGGAGGGCTGGGCGGCAGCGGGGTGGGCCGGGAGGGAGGGCCGGCGGGCCGCGGGCCGGGGCCGGACAGAGGCAGGGGCAGGGGCGGGGCCGAAGGCTGGGTGGCTGCGCTGCCCCACGCCCCTCCACCCCAGGGCGCTGTCTCCCCGGCGCTCTTTCTTCCACCCTTCCTCCGCAGCCCAGAAATGGCGGTTTCGGTGTGTCCTTGTGTGGCTGAACGAACCACTGCGCCAGAAAACAGTTTGCATATTGCACAACCACGACCCATGCACACAGCTCACCGAGTGCTAATGACTTTTCAGTAATTTATATTTATTCCGTAAGTGTATGTTTAAATTCGTGGTTGGTGCGGCGTTGAATCACGCATCATTTGAATAACACTGTCTTGGGTTAAACTGCGGGTTCACTTTTCCTAAGGCGTAGCGGCTGAAATCCGCTTACTGCTGAAGCTCCCCGCGGCTTTGACTTTTCCCAAGAAACAGCGCCCTCTATTGCCAAGAAGCAGTCCAGCTCTGACCGTCCCTTTGCTTTTCTCTCAATGGGATTCATATACACATTAACAGCGAAGACTGACCTTTAGCCTATCATTCTCCATTTTAATGTACTGTACCTGTTGACACGCTGCATAAACCCAGATCATATTTCTTCCCTTTCTTCTAACATGTAACTTTTCATACCTAATTCAGGATTATTGTGAAGATTAAAAGAGGATGCTTATGAAGCCTCAAGCTCGAACTAATGGTAAGTGACACAGAATTTCTTAAGTGCCTCGCATTTTCTAAGTGCGAGAAAGAAAGGGTAGAAAAGCAGCCTGACGTTCAGAATCTGGCCTGGCACTTAACGGGTAGGCAGCACTCATCTCCTAGTAGACATAAACTGTCTCACAGAATACCTATCTCAGACACATTACTCTGGGAGCAGGTGAGACAAAGCAAATCAACGTCATAATTTTATCTAAGTACAGACCAAAACAAGTTGATGGTTGACATTCACAAATTACCTAACAACCCCTTGGCTAAAATGAGTGGCTTTTTTTTTTTTTTAGCAATCACATTAACCTCGTTTTAATCTCCCTTCACTATAGATAACATTTATTGAGATCCTCTTTTATAGGATTGCCCATTTTCTGGCAGCATCCAATCTAGTGTGAATACTCACTTCCTTATAAGTCACCCAGCCAAAGTCCAAATCAGTTCTTTCTAATACCCTTTTACTGAGACACCCCATGATTTCCCTTGCTGCAAAAAATAAAATCAAGATAATAAACTCAATTGATTCAACTGTAGGGACACCTGGCGATCTTTGGCTGGAGGGCATTGACAGTGTCCTTACAGTATTAACTCACTGTGGTACTTTGGGTTCTCCCAATGCAGAAAGGGAGACAAGAACCCAGGGCAAGTGACTCCCTGAGAACTTTGGGGAACACCTGTATAGAAAAGAGTCACGCAGTACAGGGTAAATTATCCAGCTGGCTAACACTGCAGGCAATTAGAGCTAATGTCACACAGGAAACTTTGGGAGAGAATGGTGAAAACATACTGCTATGGGCTAAGTATTGGTGTTCCTCCAAATTCATATGTTGAAATCCTACCCCCCAAGGTGATAGCATTAGGAGGTGGGACTTTGGGAGGTAATTAGGTCATGTGGGCAGAGCCCTCATGATGGAGATTAGTGTCCTTATAAAAAAAGACCCTGAGAGTTTGCTTATCCCTTCTACCATGTGTGGCTACAACAAGAAGTTGGTGGTCTGCAACCCAGAAAAGGATTCCTGCCAGAATCCAGCCATGCTGGCATTGGACTTCCAGCTTCCTCAACTGTTAGCAATAGTTGTTCTGCTGTTTGAGGCACCCAATCTATGGTATTTTGTTATAGAAGCCTAAATGGACTAACTCACATGCCCCAGAGAAATCCCACCTCATGAATGAGGGAGCTGGAGGTGGGTACTGATTCTCCAGCCCTTCTGTCTTATGGGCTTGGGATCAAGGCTTCATTCAGAGAAAGACTCAAGAAAACAAATGCAGCACTGGCAGTTGGAGGTAGTGGTGCCCTGAAGTAATAGGGCCCAAGGGATATATAACAGTGGGATTCCCTGTTGTTAACCTCACTCATTTTGTTCCCACAACCCTGTAAGGTATGTATTATTATTTTTCCTACTGAACAGAGAACACTGAGGCATATAACAGAGTAGCTGAGGAACTTGCCTCAAGCTACACAGCTTATAAGCTGGGATGTGACTGTAACTGGCTAGTCCCAGAGCCTGTGCTCCTTGCCACTGTATTTTCTTTTCTCCTGCTGCATAACAAATTACCACCAGCCTACCTATAACAAAAGTCTGCCTCTATTTTTTGATGTTTTGTGATAGCTTTTAAGCCTCACCCTTCTTTCCCTTGTGTCCCATGCCTCATCTGGGAGAGCTGATAAGAAATCTGGAATACTCTGTTCTATATCACTGAAAGCAAAGCCCCTTCTTACATGTGTTCCGTCACTCCAGCCCCAGCCCCTAATCACAATAAAAACCCTAAATCACCCTTTTTTCTTTATTGTATAGGTCTTTCAGGGCTACCATAGCTAAGTACCATAGACTGGGTGTCTTAAACAACAGAAAGTTATTTCCTCTAAGTTCTGGAGGCTAGAAAGATTGAGGTGCTGGGAGGATTGGTTTCTTTCTTCTGAACGCCTATCTCCTGGGCTTATAGATGTCATCTTCTTCCACTATCTTCACCTGGTCCTCCCTCTGTATATTTCTATGGCTAAAATCTGCTTTTATAAGGACACCAGTCATGTTGGATTAGGGACCACCCTAATGACCTCATTGTAACTTAACTACCTTTTTGTAGACCCTACTTCCAAATATGGTGAAATTCTAAGGTACTGGAGATTAGGACTTCAACACATGAATTTGGAAGGGACACAGTTCAGTCCATAACATTCGCTCTCTCAAAGTATTTTCAGACCTGCTTGGGAGATCTGTTGTCCTTCCCAAAAGCCTCACTTTATAAATAATGAGCCTTTTACTATTATCTTGGGATGTGAGTATATGTGTGTGTGTGTGTGTGTGTGTGTGTGTGTGTGTGCATACATGTGCATGTGTGCCATCATCAGTCTTGATATCCAAATCAAATTTTGGGTGGAAGTTTATCTTGTTTCCACAGAGATGTTACAACATTAATATCTTAAAACAATATACATTATCATGTCATAGCTTCTGTGGGTCAGAAGTCCAGGTATGGCTTACCCAGGTCATCTGCTCAGGCTCTCACACATGGCAATCAAGTTGTCTACTAGGCTGTGTTTTCATATGGAGGCTCAACTGGAAAATAATCTTCTTCCAAGCTCATTCAGGTTGTTGGTAGAATTCATTTCCTTGTGCCTGTATGAGTGAGGGTCCCAGCTTTTGCTAGCTGTTGGCTGGAAGGCACCCTCAGCTTCTAGAGGTTACTTGCAATTACTGTGCATGTGGGCTTCCTCAAGGTGACTCAAGCCAACAAGGAGAATCTCTCACCCCAGGCAGGACCCAGTCCCTCTTTTAAAGGCAAATCACCTGAGTAAGTGAGGCCCACCCAGAATAATCTTAGTCTCCTTTTGATTAATTAAAAATCAACTGATTTGACACCTTAATTACATCTGCAAAATCCCTTACCTTTGCCATTTTCTATTGGCTAAAATAAGTCACAGATTGCATCCATACTCCAAGGTGTGAATACTATGTTAAAACAGTAGGGGTAATAGGAACTGCCTTAGAATTCTGCCTTCCATAACAGCTATGCCATACATGGGAAGGTAAGGAGGTTGCAAACATTTTAGGTAGACCCACACTCTACCACAAGTCAGAGGGGAAGAGCTGTATAATATACTTAGGCAGGCTAAACACTGGGTGCTCAACTTAACTGTTGGTACTCTGTGGCTGAAGGGTTGGAAATGAAGGGAACAAGCCAGATTGAGAAAATATAACCATGGTGGACTGAAAACCAGGAGGCCTCCCCAAAAGCCTCTAAGACCCAGGGTCCTTCTCATGATCCTGAGAGAGAAGGGAGAGACAGGGCACTAAAGATGACTGAGGTTGAATTTCACACAATCATAGATGGATGGATGAGGTCTAGGAATGGGACTTAAATAAGATGCTATTGCTTTCTCTCCTGAATATATGGTTGAAAATTCATGCCTGTTACACCTGTCTTGAATGTGACACAAAAACAAATGTGTATACTAATTTTTTTTTAATTTTTAATTTTTCTTGAAAAAACACCTAAGTCCTAAAAACACAGCATGAGTTTTGCTGCCCTCCTCATGGTTCAGCTTTAGCAACTGGAAGACTCATGTACTCAAACAATGCACACCCCTCACAGTCTCCCCTTCCCAACTCCAAACCACACATGCATGCACACACACACGTACACCCATCTTAGTGTAGCCTCTCACCCCCATCATCAGAGGTCACTTTGTTAGGGGTTGAACTTATTCTCCTTGGTTCTTGTCCCCGCCACAACAAAGAATTGAAGGTCAGAGACACAGTAATTAAACAGAGCTAAAGCTTTACTTGAATATACTACAAGGAAGGAGCAAGCCAGAGTCAAGGTAGACAAAGGCAGGTTTACTTGAATAAAGCAGAGAGGAAGGAAAAAGAGAGGAAAGGAAAGGTCATGAACTTCTGCTTGACATTGGGTATATCCCTTGCCAACTCCTAAAGCCAGGGTCACCTGGGATCCAGTGTCTGCTTGAATCTGCATGGCATGGGATCTGAGTGATGGAGTGAGGTTATGTTCTGAGAACTTCCCAAAGGCAAAGAAAGGAGATTTTCAGGCATGCTAGTAAGGAGCATGATTGTATAGCTGCATTTCCGTCCAGGTCACTCATGTGAGGGAAACTTGCAAGTCCAATTCAGAGCTCTCAGCAGCCCTCCATACTAATCTGAGGTGGGACAGAGGCAGAGGGAAGGCTGTGTTTAAGCTTAGAGAACAGAATGAAATAGCAAAGTAACAAGGACACCACTGGAAGAGAGCAGAAACAAAATGCAATAAGTTGAGCAGGTTTATTTAAAGTAA